TGTGTGTGTGTGTGTGTGTGTATGTGTGTGTGTGTGTGTGTGTGTGTGTGTATGTGTGTGTGTGTTGGGGGGATTCCTCTCGTTTTCTCACTCAGAAGAAAAGAATGAATAAATATTAAAAAATAAGGCAACTTATTCCTTCTGAATTGTATGGCTTACAGATCTTTCACAGAGTATGTTCGTCATAGTTGAAGCCAGACCGTGTGTACTGATTTTTATATCTGCCCCTGAAATGTTCAAACATCTGAGTTGGAAGATAAACATAGAAAAGGTGATTAGGAAAAGATAATATCTGCACGTGGATGGCTAGCCTTGTTTCATGTTTCAAAGCACAATGACTCGGACCACTCAGCAGGAGTGGTGAAATTGTCGAAATCCATCATCCAAGCTTTGGCAACGGCACTGGACTTCAGATGGCTCCAGGCAATTCTGAGTTTTGCAGGGAAGAAGGGCATTTTGTAATATTCCTGGTGAAAGTATGCCGATCGTGCATAACAGAATAGCATAATGAAACTTGCTAGTGGTACTTCAGCAAGTAGTAAATTTCATCTGGACATAGGGTGAAAAGATGTTGCTTGAGAAATCCTTGTGAGTTCTCCTGTGCAGGTGAGAGTGGAGCACGAGGGCAGGTGAGAGAAACATGGACCGAGCTGAACGCCAGGTTGCAAAATCCACCTGCAAGTCATCTTTCCATCAGAAAACTGACTCTGACAAACAACTGAGTAAAGACAGCTCTAGTAAGCTTTAATAGCCTGACCTACAGATCCCAGAATCATTCATTTTAAGTCAGTGGACAATCACGGGTCTTCATATAACATCTTTCCAAAAGTGGCTTGTATGATACTGATTTTGGTATGTCAGAGCATGGCTTTTGGAAACATTTAATCCAGGTAATGTCTTGGGTGGGCATAAAACTCTAGGGCCATAATTTTTTTCTTTCTTCCAACATCAATAGGCATTCAAAAGAGATAAGCTTCCCCTTTTTTAGTTTGTTGAAAAATATATATGTTGGCCCATGGAAGATGAAAAACAACTTACAGTTCTTTCAGATGACCAGAGGTTCCTGAAGTTTCCTAAGGCAAACATGGGCCTCTGAATCTTTTTATCTGACACAAGTTCTTCTGTCCCTATAAAAAGTGGAAAAGAATAATTTTAAAACAGTGACCTTATTTTCAACGTTATAACTTCTTTTTTTTCATTTTCATTTATGGGCTCTAGTGCAAAGACTACTTCAGGGACAACTGGACAGTTGTGTTTTTAGACTGAAAATGTCCCCATTTAATGTTCTTGGTCAGTAAGTGACAACATGAGTGACAATGTACCCATTTAATGATCTTGGTCAGTAAGTGACAACATGAGAACCGTGCTTCTGTGAGATTTATCTGGTAGCAGTGACTGAGATGGATTAGATTGTGAGCAAAAAATGGAGAGGGGCTGGTGGTTAAGGCGCTGGACTCTTACAGGGCCATCTGCAGTTTGAGTCCCAGACCTGGTAGCTTGCTTTCTCACTTTCCTTTTTATCTCTCTGGTCAAAATTTTAAAAATAATAATAACAAGTTAAATAAATACATAATTCTTTTTTTAAAAATGAACTGTACTAAACTAGGTAGGGCCTTAGTCATCCAGATGAAATATGAAGGTAACCTGAAGGACTGTAGAGAGAGGTAAAAAGAACTGAGAAAGAGAGTGATACAGAAGAAAAAAAGGACAGGCAGGAAAAGAAAGGCGTGGAACAGCACCAAATCCTGGGACCTCGCTTGTCTGCACTTAGGGTGGGGCTCCTTTCTTTGGAACTTGGCAAATTTTGGCTGGTGTGGGAATGGAAACTACTCAGATAAGAAAAAGCAAAGGTTGGGACCAGCAATTAGCATAATGGCTATGTCACTAAACTCCCATGTAGCTGACCGTGGTTCGAGTCCCAGACCTGGTGGCTTAAACTCACGCCAGGCACATGTGCGTGACTCACGCCAGGCACGTGAGTGCCCAAGATCCTGAGAGGAGAATGGAGGAGAAGGGATTGCGGTGTGGCCTTCCCACCTGGGGGGAGGGGGGTGATTTCTTGCTTTCTATCTCTCTGTCTCTCTCTGTCTTTCTGGCAAGCGCATGTGCCCTATAGCAAAAAAACTCTAAAAATAAACAAATAAACATTTAAAAAAAGCAAAGGCTATTTCTCAGAGCTTTCAGAAGTGAGAGAGTCAGTGCTCTGGTGAATTTGGGGAGAAACTCCAAGGCAGGAAGGCTCAGCGGCAGTGGCACTGATGGTAGGGTGTCACTCCACAGAGCTGAAGCCACGTGGAGGACTATAGTTTAGACTCTGGTGGATCTGAAACGCTCCAGGCATTTGTGGTCCTAGCTGGCTAGAAGGCTGTTTTGGGGAAGAGAGGATCATGGTGAGATGAGATCCTGTCAAAGAAAGCTGCCTATTTTGGGCTGGCAGATGACATGGTGGCTAAGGATGCCGGAATCCCACATGGCTGACTGTGATTGGAGTCCCATGCCTGGCGCTTGTTTTCTCTCTCTCTCTCTCTCTCTGTCTGTCCCTCTTTGGTCAAATTAAAATAAATGAATAAAGTTAAGTAATTTTTTAAGAGAGAAAACTTCCTGTTTTTCTCTCTATAATGGAAGAAATAAAGTAATTAAATATATACATATATGTGTATTTATACATAATTTCAAAATACATATAATTAAAAATATATATACGCTCATGTGTGTGTGTTACTATATAGCAGTAGTGAGAGAGAAAGGGAAGGCTTCAGGTTTCCCCAGCTGGAGGTAGTTGGCAAGGGGAAACTGTAGGCAGGCCAAATAGAAGTGGGTATCCTAGGATATTGGTTGGAGGAACATATTTGCTGTTCTCTGATTAGCCCTAACTTAAAGGTGGGGACAAAAAATCAGGGACACTGTCAGTTATTAATCAAGTCCTAGCCATTTGGGGACCATTGTGACAGAGGTTATCATTGAGCTTCCTGGATTGCCCCTGGAGATAGCAATCTGGCCTCTGGCAAGCCTATTTACTGCTGGCTGACTTCCTGGGCTGTTTATTGTAGATAAAGGGATTAGTTTCTTGGCTAGGTTACAACAAGGTTTGGGGC